TAAACCCTGAACCCTAAATCCCTTTAAAGGACTGGGAAGGTCTAGTCTCCAAGATCTTGAAGCCAAGGCATTCGATGAGCTCTTGTCCCTGCTGCGTGTTTTTGCAGTTCATCATCTCGTCCCTCCGTTGCTCGGATTTAGGTCTAGGATTTAGGTTATGGCTCGAAGTTTAAGATTTCAGGTTCAAGGTTTAGGGTTTAGGGTTTGGGGTTGGGCTTGGGGTTATAGCAAGGTTCAAGCGGCTAAGCCCAAAAACCTATGCCTCTTTGCAAAAAAAAAAAAGTAGAATTTTGTGAGGCACATGTGAACTGTAGTCTAAACTCATTACACGCATTAGAGGAGATCATATAGGAGAGTAGTATACGCGTTATCAAGGGGATACTAGGAGTTTAGGGTTTAGATTTTAGGGTTTAGGGTTTAGGGTTTAGACTATAGCTCATTAACCTTGCATACTAACGACTTCACCACGCCAGCCAGCACATGCCTGCATGGTTTGTGGAGCAATCCAACCTTCTCTCAACCAAGGTTTGTACGGGTCCTGACCCTCTCCCCCTGATCCCCTAATATTAAGTAAGTACTCCCAATATATTATAATATACTAGAATGGGGAATATTGAATACTACAGGGGGTGGCGGGGTTTGATATTACGGGGAGAGGGCTAATGCAGAGTTATCCCGATTCCCTAAGCCTTAAACCCCAAACCCCAAAACCCTAAACCCTAAATCCCTAAACCCTAAACCTCAAAACCCAAAACCCTAAACCCTAATGCGAAGTTATCCCAGAAAACTGCTTTGAACTGGCCACGGTTCCCGAGGGTCAGCATACTCCTGGGTTGCTGTTAAGGCACTTAATTTAAGTTACTATCTTGGGGAAACCCTATCCATTTACTATATATACCCATTATGGTATCCTGAACCCTAAACCCTAAAACCTAAACCCAAAACCATTATGGTAACTTAACTTAAGTCCCAAAACCGCGGCCCAGATTCTTCCATTGGTTGACCTGGGCGCGTGCCAGCATCTGCACAGGCTCCGGCATGAAGTTCACGGGAGGCTCAAACTGCATCACCTGGGTTGCTGTTAAGGGACTTAATTTAAGGTACCATAATGGGTATAGGGTACATTGGGTATATAGGGTACATGGGGTATATAGGGTTTAGGGGTTGCTGTTGAGGAATTTAGTTCAAGTTACAATAATGGGTATATAGAGTAAATGGGTAGGGTTTCCCCAATATAGTAACATAAATTAAGTTCCTTAACAGCAACCCAGTCACATAGGTGGACACGCGCTTTGCCATGCAGTGGAAGGTGTCACCTCTGTTACAGTGAGCTGTGTTCAAGAGATCGTGGATCAGGGAGAACAAGCGATTCACGGCCTCTTGGCTTGCGCCTGCCACACTCTTCACTTGCTGCGGCAGCCAGTTCAGAGGGGGCTGAAACTGCATGACGTAGGTGGCCACGCGCTGGGCAATGCAGTGGAAGGTGTCACCTCTGTTACAAGCGGGGTTGTTCAAGAGATCGTGGATGAACGAGAACAAACGAGTCACGGCCTCTTGGCTTGCGCCTGCAACACTCTTCACTTGCTGCGGCAGCCAGTTCAGCGGGGGCTGAAACTGCATGACATAGCTGGCCACGCGCTGGGCCATGCAGTGGAATGTGTCGGCTCTGTTACAGCCAGCTGTGTTCAAAAGGTCATGGATCATTACCATCAATCGCTCAATGGCCTCTGCGCTTGCCCCAGCAACTCTCTTAATTTGCCACGGCAAAACCTCCAGTGGGTCTGGGAATGTCCTAGGCTGTTCAGTAGCCCCTGGAAAAAAAAAAACATACCTTTGGGAAGTTCATGCTCATATACTAGGAACCCAGAAACCCAAAAGTAAAAAGTAGTTTTCACACATAAGCCGGCATCAATATACCCCAAAAATACCCGTATTGTGGGGATCCCCAAACAAAGAGCCCTTGTTTGGGGAAACTCTAAGGGATTTGGAACCCCAGTAGAAATTACAATTTCAGCTAAAGAATAGGATTGTTGGTAACAGAAATTAACAATCATGTTCAGGAACCTTGTAGGAAAGCCTAGTGACACGTCTTTGGAACCAAAGTCGTGGTTGAAGAGGGTGATCGTTTGTCCCACCAGCGTCACTTTGCAGTCTAGGCCGCCAAAACCGACTTTGAGATTACGGCCTGGTGTGTGGGGTTCAGGGTTCAGGGTTCAGGGTTTAGGGTTTAGGGTTTAGGGTTTAGGATTTGGGGTTTAGGGCTTAGGGTTTAGGATTTGGGGTTCAGGGTCTAGGATTTGAGGATTAGGGTTTAAGGCTTCAGGAGAAGGCTTTAAAGTTTAGGGGGCTTGACACTGAAATGGTGGGGAAAGGATACATAGGGGGGTGTATGGGGCTTAGGGGCTACGCCTTGGATCTACCCAAAGAACGGAAAATCAAGTGAAAACTGAAATCGCAACCCTAGGTCCCTTTAAAGGGGTATGCAGGAGCATATTATGGGTGGTATTTCTCCAACATGGAAACTCAAATGGAAAAGAAAATGGAAAATCATGAAATGGAAAAACTATTCTATGGCATTTTCTCAAAATACGGGGACCTTGGTAGATACACCAGAATACAATAATCCTTATACATTTTTCCCCACATTCAGTATGGGGTTCTAATTGTTTGATGTGCCGTTGCCCGCACCCCGACAGCGTGCTCTTCCGTCGCGCAAACATTTGGGACGCGCTCATGTTGAACGAACAATCGCGGCGCTTCAGGCCCGAGCGCGTGCTCTCGCGTGACACACCCTAAACCCTAAACCNNCTGAACCCTGAACCCCAAACCCTGGGGGATTAAAGGGAGGGACCCTGCCTGGCCTGACAATGAAAGGCTCGGTTTCCTTGGTTTACAGTCGGAGCTGAATTTGAAGCCTTTGAAGTTCATGAGAATAACCTTAGTTGCTCTATGAGCCATCAATAAAAGTTTAAGCTCTCGCTTCCTTTAATATGAAGTAGGGTTTAGGGTTCCACAAAAATTACAAAGTGCTGAAGCTGTAGTAATGTCCCACTAAGTAACGGTTGCCTTGTCCACGGTGTCGATTGTGGTCTTGGCAATAAACTCAACTGCCTTTCCTTTGTCCTTGACCTTGTTGAAGGCATTCTTCAGGTCGTCTCCGGTCAGACCAGTACCATCAACTGCGTCCTGTATATTGTTCGGAGGTTCTTGGGACCCTGAACCCTAAACC